ACTTGAAACAGTCGTACGACTGCAGAAAATTCAATAGTAGCCTACACAACAGAATTCAGTGATAGAAAAACGATTTTGGGGCAGTGGGGCAAAAATTTGTAAATTTCATGGGGTTTAGGGTTGATCGGTAGGGTGTAAGGTGTGATTTGTGATAACAGTATACTGAATAGCCTCTACATACACAAAACTCATTTTCAAACGCTATAACTATAGCTATACATCTTTTCAATTTTTCTCTATAGACAAGGGTGTTTGTTGACAGTTTGGGGGTAGGGGGCTGGAGGACATTTTTTCTATTTTTCGCTTTGATTTAGTTGTATGAAAAGACTGTTTTCACTCTTTTTGGGAGATTTTAGGTGGCCCTGAAAAGGGCCGTTGTTTTTTTTAGTTTTGAACTAAAGTTCGACACACAGCTTATTTGGAGCTGGTGTATTTGGTGACGGCCTTTGTTCCTTCGGAAACGGCGTGCTTGGCGAGCTCACCGGGTAACAGAAGTCGAACGGCAGTTTGGATTTCCCTGCTGGTGATGGTCGATCTTTTGTTGTAGTGAGCGAGTCTTGAAGCTTCGGCAGCGATTCTCTCGAAAATGTCGTTGACGAAACTGTTCATGATAGACATAGCTTTGCTGCTGACTCCAGTGTCGGGGTGGACTTGTTTCAGCACTTTGTAGATGTAGATGCTGTAAGACTCCTTTCGTCGTCGTTTCTTCTTCTTGTCTCCGCTACGTGCGGCCTTTGCTTTTCCGGCTTTCTTAGCCCCTTTGGCAGAAACCTTTGGCGGCATGTTGAATTTAGAGTACTAACGTGATGTGGACAGTGCGGTGTCTAACAGTCAAGTGAGTAGTGACACGCGCGAAATTTTCCTTTTATACTCGAAATGGAGTCGAAAATAGGATCGAAAGCTTTTCTCGTGAATAGCGCGGACTTGATAGTGAGCACCGTAGTTTTCGACTCCATTTTCGAGTATAAATAGTGTTTTTAGTCGTCGCGTTCGCTTCATTCAGTTACTAGACTTTCGCACGACGACACCGTCTCACTAACTAAATTCACATCATGTCTGGACGAGGAAAAGGAGGAAAAGTAAAGGGAAAGAGCAAGACCCGATCATCCCGGGCTGGATTACAGTTCCCTGTCGGTCGTATCCACCGTCTGTTGAGAAAGGGAAACTATGCCGAGCGAGTCGGAGCTGGTGCCCCAGTCTACTTAGCCGCTGTTTTGGAATATTTGGCTGCTGAAGTTCTCGAGTTGGCTGGTAACGCTGCCCGTGACAACAAGAAATCCCAG